TTCCGCACTTCACGACACCAGACGCAAGAGAATTGCAAAGACGGTGAGATACAGGGAGTGAAGAGCTTCTGTTCAAGCAGGAAATGCTACGGGCAAAGTGCAGTCTCTCCGGGGAAGGCACTTCTTCTCGCGTGGGAGTCGTCTGCGAGGGATGCGCTTCCTGAACGGACAGCGGCGCCGCCTCTAGCCAAATGTAAACGCGGCACACAGTAGAACCGTGAAACTCAATTGGGGCCGAGTCCAGATTACTGAGCGGCTACTGCACGATCAGCTCGTGCAGCTGGTGCCATTTATCACGAAAGCAGCGATTCGGCTGTTCGTGAAGACACGCCCGTACACTAGGGTGTGCCTCGGGATGATTCTGAACACGCGCACCGTCGCTGCTGGATGCTGTGCCAGATTCCTCTGCATCAGAGCTTGACAAAGATGTGTCTCGTAAAGCTTCTAGATTCTAGAGCCTTGAGCAGGCAAACCTTGCTGCCTTGTTCGTCAAAACTTTATCTCCAGTGTTTCTTGGTGGCAGGGAGTGAGCGCGAGACGGAGAGAGAGAGAGAGAGAGATAAAAAAAAAAAAAGAGAGATAGAATAGGGAGATGATAGTCAAATTAGAGGGACCATCGAGAAAGCAAGCTGATGGGTGGCCACTGCTGAAATCTAAACAAGGCTGCTACTCGATCATTACATCTCACACGCTCGATATTCTGCTCATCAGTCCGTGTATGATACTATCGATTCCTGCTTGAAAGATTCGTTGTCTCGCTGCGTAGCTTTGCTTGAAAAGTTCATTCAAATTAAATCCTCGGTTGGATACTGTCTCGCCATGACTTGTGGAGATAAATAAGTACGAATCTGATTCATCATAATTTCGTTTATACCACGTGCTTAGATTAAGATTCGCTGCAGATTGGCTTTAGACACATACACACACACACACACACACTCGACGATTCGCACTAGAGTCCTGAAAGTACCACTATGCTCTTCCTCTGGCCTAGTTTGATGAAGGGGAAAGGGGCGAGTAACCTTTCCGGAACTTCACAACGATAATATGGGAGCCTGAATAATTAGAATGGGGTTTTGGGGGTTCCTTATTGTAATTATAGTAGAATATACCCCCAAACATCACGCAGACGGTGCAACCCAGAGCCTGGAAGGCGCCAGTCCCAGGTCGGGGCTCCTGCAAAAAGGAAATTAGTCCTTAGCGTTCCTTATTATATGATACAATAGAGGAGCCCGAAACCCTACTCTAATTATTATGAATTACAAATCAGATCTCGACTGACCTTCTTCATCCTCCATCTTACAGGTGAGGAAGAAGCTGCCTCCTCGCCCTCGCCGACGCTTCGTTGGGAGCTGCTGGCCGCCTCATTGCCCACATCCGCATCATTTCAGCAGAACATAGGGCAAGAAATGTGTCGTACTCATTCTGGCAGCGCGATTGAAGCATTGTACTGTGCCCGGCGGGGAACCTTGTTAGCTCCGGCTCCGCAAGGACCGGCGCCAGCGCTAGGCTGGCCGCCTGCCTCATTTCAAGCGCTCTGCGCTCTGGCTCAGGCTGCTCAGTTTCGGGTGTCTGATCTTGCTGAGCTTCTGTGCCCGACGTCGGAGTGGCCACGGACGCAGGCTCCATTGGGGCAGTTGACGAAGTCCTTTCCTGAAGATACATGCACTTCCTGCCCGACATGTTGCTGAAATCGTCCGACGCAGAGCTGGAATGCATCCAAGCATCAGCCACTGACAAAGACCTCCGCTCACCATGTCAACGTGGAGTCCCTCTACGACCGGATGCAGCTCTTCCTACAAATTCCACAAGTAGTAGCATGATTGAGTGCACTCCATGATATGAGTAGGTCAGATACAGACTCAAGGCAATCCGAGCAACGTCGGACTTAAGCCAGAGTCGAGCTGGTGCTGCAGCTCCTGCTGCTGTGTGACAGCTACGCGGGCGGCTACTGTTATTTACAACATGACTTCAAAGTGAGCTTCTTGTCGTCGGCAATTGCCACCCCGTCGGTTCTGTCATCTGTACTGGTGGACTTTCCCCTCGCTGCCATCAAACTGACGAATCTGCGACACCACGGTCTCTTAAGAGCGACGCTGTCCAACTGCCACATGTTCGCTAAGGAACCAAGCAAATCCGAAGATGCGCCTATATGGCACTTCCCTGGAAGCCCGTAAGCACCAGAGTAGAACAGAGAACCCTAAACCTTAATCCCCGGGTCCTCCAGCTCCAGATCAGCGGCAGCCCTCAGCTCCGGATCCTGGTTGTCCAGCTTCTTCAGCTCCTCGAGCTTTTGCGCTAGTGCAATGGAGTCAAGCCCCATCCCTCTTTCGGGCACTGTCAACGCTGACCAGCATGCCGCTGATGGCAACTAGGCTCAAGTTCTGTTGACCTAAGTGGCCTGTAGATTTGTGGAGGAGCTATATGCAATTCGGATATCTTTTGATTTGGGGTGGCTATGGCAAACTAGGGGAATGTCCAGGATGCTGTATCGGTGCCACAGGGGCATGCTTCGAAATTCCGCTTTTGCCCCTTTGTGCCTATCCCTTGGCACCTCCACTCGCTGCAACTTCTGCTGCATCTCAGCGGCATGCCTTAGTGACAGTCCATATCCGGCTGAGCAGTCCGCAGCGTAGCAGCACGGGCAGGAGGCGAACAGGTGGCAGCCAAGTCTCTGCTCTGCCTTCCTGGCTGCTTCCTCGGCGAGCTGCTGCTGTTGCTGTTGATGCAGCCGGAGGGCCTGAGGGGGGCGGAGGGGATTCGCTACTTCTGCTTCACCTCAGGCGGACTGCGCCTCGACATGCTGCTTCTCCACCCTCTCGAACTCCAACCTGGCTATCGCTTCGACAAAGGGCCCATCGCAAGGAGCTGGTCTCGCCTGTACGGCTCCAGGAGGGCAGCGCCGATGTTTCGCAAGGCCTGCGAACTACAGCGAGGGCCTTCAGTTCCCGACGGGGTGACTTCGACCTGTTACAGCAGAATGGAAACACATTTCCTGACTGCAGTCATGGGGAAAGGGGGTGACTGGGTCTTAGTCTTTTCCAGCCGCACAACTGCGCCACTGACATATCGACACTCACTCTCTCGCACTCTCTCGCACACAGCTCCCTCTTTTGAAGCGCCGCCACGCCGCGCCTCGCACTTGTTCGGGTCCAGTCCCGTGGCAGAGGCTGCGCGTGCGCATGCATCCACTCGCCACCGGATCCACTCCCAGGGCCTGGAGGGAAAGCTGGGGAGCCCCCAGCAGCGGTCTATGCGATGAATACAGGGAGCCCGGAGGTCAGCGAGCCTCACTCCCGGCGAGCGAGACTTGGTCTGGAAGTGGGGCACTCCCGCAACGGCAGCTTCGATCGCACCTGCCTGCAAATTCCAAGACGCAAGCACGGCTACTGCGCTGCCTGTCTGAAACCGTGAAGAGAGGAATGGTATCCGAGCCTAACTGCGCAAGTGGTCAGCTACCGCATTAAGGTTTTTGCGGTTCCAGGTTGGACCACATGAGACGAAAAAGCATCTTTAGGATTTCGCTGGGCTGCGATGCAGATGGACCCGATCTCGCAAAGTGCTGTCTCCTCAGGGCAGAGCAGCGCACCACGCATCCCTAGATTTCTGCCGGCAATCAAACTTGCAGCTGAAATTCTGTTCCGGGCCAGTCAAACATGGAGCAGAGACTGCAGGAAGCTGACTTCCCAAGTTGACTCTTAAGTAGATACGGCAACAACGTCTGTGCCGAGGTCGCAGGCTGGTGTCTAGCAGCGTATCACGTACCCACTACCTCCTCACGACATTCCGACACCCGCTCCGGGTCTTGGGGTTTCTGCAGGTTTGAGCCGGGCCCACCCAACTGATGAGCGGAGGTCGCAAGACAAAGGCGTCTTCCCAAGTTCGCAAGGCTCTCTCACCTTTGACCTGTGTCTTTTCCAGGAAGGAAAAAACGTCAGACGTTCTTGTCCTACCCGTTTGTCCGACCTTGAGCAGGAGGTCATTAAAGTCAGTTGACCTGCTCCGGCCCACAATGCGACGTGCGCGACGTGGAGTTAGGGGTGGGGTGGGAAGAATGCTCGCAGTAACATGTGAACCTGCGTCCAGAAAGGGCAACATGATGCTAACATATCAAACATCAACATCCTGGTGACCCTGTCGATTCGACGAATCACCGGGCATGCACACGCGGAGCTTGCACTCTGCTGCCGTCAAGCAGTCTGCAATTTCAGTTCAAGTCTCCTCCGTCGTAAGCGCAGCCGCGGCATGCTCCTTGCAGACGCTGCCGCTAGGCCAGCTCACTCAGGTCTCAAAAGCACTGCCAGGGGATCCGCAGCTCCTCCAGGCCCAGCAAGGCATCCCCACTGCGGGCGGTCTCCCAGGCAATCGCCAGGATACTGCGATGCTGCTGTTTGCCTGTCTTCCACGGTGTCACAGCGTCCAAAAGTACACATCCACATCAACCGGATAACAAAACCCCCAATCTGCGATCAAGCTCCATGTGCTGCGAAGCTGCTGATACCAGATTTCAGCAACATTGCTGCGAATTCATTCAACGCGCCAATCGCCGCCTCATGGAATGGATTGTCTGGCTCGTTGCACAGCCTGTTTCCTTTGCCGCCCATGCGTTGCAAAGGGCTGGGACACTCACGACAGCACCAACCAGGTGCTAGCACGCATGCACAGATGCACGCGTGATGCATGCACGCAGCACGATCGGTCGGTAGGTAGGTTTGTAGGTAGGCCGGTAGGTTTGTGGATGTGTAGATCGAGTGTAAGTGTGCTGGTGTGTATGTAACATTACACTGACAGGCACATACAGAAAATTGCACAATACAATGTGTCAATGTGATCCAACAGTCTAAGCCTTCCTTTCAAACGGGCTGTGATGCCAGATTTGTCCAGCGTGCCTCGACCACCTCATCTCGATGCGCAGTGGAGGCACTCATGCTTGTGGCCTCAGTCTGCTTACCAGGGAGAAAATCCGCAGAACTGACCTCTTAGGTCGCATACTATGGCATGTCATAGCATTTTATAGCATATTATAGGATATTATAGTAGTATATCGCATACAGCAGAAGCCGTGGAGCACAGCAAAAGCCCACAAGAAGCACCGAGACCGGCTAACAGCTAGCAGGAGGTACCCAAGAAGGGATTCAGGATCCAAGCCTTCCATGTTTGCTCCAATCTGTGTCTTCGACTCTCTCCTGACTCATCATAATCGTATATCAGTTTAATGATCCAGCTGAACACGTGTGTCATGGGACATCGGCTTGCTTGGAGGTCGCAGGAAAGTGTGTCCAAGCGGCCTGGGTTACTTACTCGCACCACGAACATGGCAAAGCGTGACGACATTTTGCTTCTGCGGCGATGCCGACGGCGCTCGTGGTATATGCGAGTCTTTGTTGGATCCGATGGCAGGGCAACATCACAGCCAGATTCGTCCATCTTTCATTCCGTGCTGTTGCCCCTGCAGGCAGATCCGGTCGGTATGTATTGCACCACTGCGACATGTGATGCCGGTCGCCACTCTGCAGCACTCTGTTCCTTTTAGTCGCTGCTCCGATCAGTTGGGAGGCCGGCTTCACACGTGTTCCGAGGGCTAGCTGCACAGGCTCTGCAGCCAAAAGAGCGTACCAGAGCCGGCGTCGTCAGCCTCGCCCAGCCCTTTAAAATCAGGACGTGAGACGATGAACATCCATGAACTCTGTGAGATCCTCTCACTTCTAGCAGCCCAAGAGTGCCAATCGAAAGTCTCTCTTGCGAAACAATGGTGACCTTCTCCGAAAGTTAGCGCGAACACGTCCTATTCGGGGTAGAATGCATGAAGTCTTCTACTGTGAACCAACCCGGGGCCCTCACTGTCACAGCATAGAGGTCGCTGCGCGGGCTGCGCACGGCAATTCAGATAACTGCAGACTCCACAGCAGATTGCTACCGGCACCGGATCTGAGCAACAATTATCCGAATCAGGTTTCTACAAAAGGACGATCCACCAAAGCACTATCTGTGGGGAATGCGACCGGCCATAGCGCTTTGGAGTTGTGTTAGGCATTGTCGACACTTCTCGGTGTAAGGTGGCGAATGAGCTAAAAGCCTTAAGCCTTAAGCCACCCCAACTCCATTGTCACCTTGACATGCGCAAGCACGGTTCTTAATCTGAAAAAGTTAGCCAAGGCTTGCGGGCGAAGCACGAAGAGTCTCACGGCTCACGGCGCCTTGAGGAGTGGCTTATGAGCGCACCGAATGCTGCGCCTGCCCACCAGTAGTGGTGTTTCTCCCAAGTGCGCGTCTTGCTGGTAAGTCCCAGCACAAACCACCGAGCTCTTGTTGCTGCTTCACCATCCCTCAATGAATCTCTTCGAAACGGCACGAGGCTCTATGCTGCGATCTCCGATAGGTCCGTGGCCTCAACCGGCGTCGACGGAGGAAGAAGACCTGAGGACGATGTCGTATTAATGGTAAACCGAACTGGTCGGGCCTGTCCCCTTTCGTTGAACCAACTTCTTCTAGCGCATCATTCAGCGAAGCTCTACCTGACAGGGTGGTAACCTGAGATCGCAGCCTGCAGTACCTGCACTCGGCTGGATTAGAGACTGCGTATGCAACAAGGTCTGTGCTAAACGGCGT